TTAGAACCAGCTTTGGTTTCTTGAGGATGACTTATATCATACTGAGTACATGCTCGGTTCAGTCTAAGCGCGCTGATGCTGAGCATACTAAGCTTATCATTAGGCTCAACCGAGGCATGAATCATTGAGGCCCAGTTAAGATCCTTTGGAATACCCTGTGTAAACTCTGACTCGCTTCAGGATTATTATAAACAATAATAATAATAGTAATAAAAATAATAATAACAAGAACAATCAATTCGTTGCAGATAAAACAAATTTGTGCGTATGTTCGTAATGAGGATTAGGAGTCACAGAGGAATGGGGGCCGGGGGGTTGATCGAGAAAAAGTAACTTATGTTAATAATGTAAATTAAGTAAATAGTTCGTGATGTTGGTTACATTACACAAATAGAACGTTATTCAACAACATTATTTCTACAAAGTTGACATAGACTTCATAGGTACAATTGAAAATGATAAATCATAGGCGCGCGTCAGCTTAGTGGTAAGGCGTAGTTAAAAAAAAAAGTGATAAGGCGTAGGTTTCGTAATGTTAGGGTCGTGCGTTCGAATCTCGGTTGCGGCGGTCAATTTTTGAGTTAATTAATTAGTTCTTTCCAATGATCCATTCATCAGGGATAGGTAAATCGGGGTGAAATTGACTTGTATTAGTAACAACAAAATAATAATTTTACTTTTTTTCATTATTTTGATCAATAATTTCTCGATAAATTAAAGGATTAGTTAACGATTGGATCAAGCTTGGATCAAGCTTGGTTCAAGCTTGGTCTCAGCTAGGACCAATGGTCAATTCCCACCTGGGAAGAAGCACTGATATTTGAGGCTCCGACAGTCTCTGCCTTTCAAAGCTTTGGAAAGCTCTGGGTTTCAAGCCTTCGGCAAGCCTCGAGATCGAGGCTCTACCCCCTGTCACGATCCAAGGCTCAACAAAGGCTTTACTCATGGTCAATTCCAGCCTCAACCCAGGCTTGTCAAGCCTTCGCCGAACCCTCGTCGAACCCTCTCCCCATCGTTCATTCCTACCTGGGTTGCCGCTTGATTGTCGCTAATCCCCAATTCTGTAGCGAAGTGGTCAGATTAAGTAATTTTTGTTTTCAAATCACATAATCGTAGGTACAGGGAGCATTCGAGCAAAAAAAATACCCTTTTGTTCCACATATACAGGATATTTCAAAACCTAACGTCCAAACTTCAATCCAAAGGAGGGGGTAGAATTCTAAGCAAATTTTCGATCCAATCTTCGAGGAGCCTTTTCAACTTATTCGGGTTCGCAGTTGGATGAATGAGGAACAGCGCGAGACAGCCGGACGCACGATGGTGAGTCCGGTGTCCTCACCATGCATTAGTACTCTTCTGCGGCGGCAGAAAACGGGCAAATGATGGGGGTAAAAAAACGAGTTCCCAATGGCCCATGCATCACTCAAAAAATGATAGCTTCTCACGTAATTAATCCTCTAATTAATACTAAAAGATCACGTTAGATGGAGGATTAAATTCTCCATCGATTGGCACATTGAGAGCAATCGTTGCTGAAAAATTACCATTCCAGACGATTTGATCCGAAAGTTCGATAACAATTACGGCTCAATAATAAAAATGATCGATATTCTGGTAATTTTTATCCATGTAATTCTAATAAATTTTTATGTATATTAGGCATCAAAAATTACCCAGATACAGGAGAAACTTTTTACCTTTCCGAATGGTGAACTTTCTCTTTAACCCAATACGTGCAAGTGAGAGGCAGAATAGAGAACCCCCCTTCCCCCATAGCCTTACCCGTACGACGCTGGCACAACGCAATTTATTCCAACGGCCGGGGGACTTACAATTTTTTTGTTTTATTCATAACAAATATATCCAACATAAAATTGAAATTTCACTTTTACCAGTTGATGGAAAAACCGGTCGAGTATTTTCAGTGAAAATATTAAATTGTTTTGAGAAATTTTTCTCCATACACGACATGATTGAATCGGTACAGGAAAATATTTTCATGTTCAACTTTTATTAATTGAAAAAAAAACTATGAAAAATGCAACAATTTACTTTAAAGAGAATTTCATTACCTTTTAATATATTTTTTCCAAGTGTCAAAATATGCATTAGAATTCGAGCAAATAGCTGTTTATCGTTGACGGAAATATATCCACATCACTCGCGAGCCTGCATCTTGGGTGATAAATGGATTTTAGGTAAAGTCAGTATTTTTTACCCTTCCGGAATAGTAATTTTTATCCAGATATTATTGAAAATCATCCAGATATCCAATAACTTTTATCCGTCCATAGGGGCAATCTTCATTCAGATGAGAACAAGTATTATCCGGAAACGTTCATTAAAAATTATCTACACGGGAAGATTTTAATAAGAAAAATTATGATTTAAACATCGTAACCGCGGATGAAATGGTGAATTCCGGGAAATATACGTTAATTTTTTTCTGAAATTGGGACGTTGATTTTTTCTAAATACATTTCTCTATCCAAACATCACGAATTGGAATCGTAAAAAAAAGCGAAAGAAAATTTCGATGTACATATTTCTTAAAAATGTTTGTAGGATCTGAATAATTTGTCAATAGAATAGGAGAGAATGTAATTACTTTCTCAAATTTTATGATTCAAATTTGATTTTTTTTTTCCGATAGCTGAAATGAATTAAATACTATGTTCATTTCATTAAGTTGCAGTAATAAAGTAAAATGAATCCATGTTTTTATCGGTTATTCAGGAAAAGAATAACTTAAATTTTCAATTAACCGGAATTGATAATTAGTTGACACTTTTTGTTTTTTACGAAAAAGGAGAGAAAAAATATTTACAGCCAAGTTATTAACTGCTGCAGAGCTCACAAAATCGCGAGTGATGTTTACAAATGGGGTATAAGAAAGTAATCAGAAGGCTCCATGCTCGCGTTTTTTGTTTCATTGTTTCGGCGCATGACGAAAGATATCGGTCGCGCTTTGTCAACGACAAGCCATCACAGTTGGTGTTTGTATTCTAAAAAGGAAGAGATTATCGATTCATTATTTTTACGATGTGAAATTGGTATTTATCGCGGCGAATGCTCGCATATATTTCTGATATTTTTAGGTTTTTTTGAAACGGAATTTGCACTTTTAATATTCTATGATGGCACAATTCTCTGGAATTTACTTCATTTTTCTTCCAACACAATTGGAAATTTTCTTCATCAATGTAATAAAAAAAAGGAATTGATTTGGAGCTATTCTTTCTATTTTCAAATTACGATTGACAATCGTAAAACGGCCAAATCCTTTATTATGGTGCACCGTTCTAACTCTACTCGTGCAATTTTACGATTCAAAAATCGTAAAATCAACTAAATAAATCGTTCCGTATACACGAAGGAAAATTATTGCGGCAAAAAGATACTGCTACAGAATTACCTGGTAAATGTCTATTACTCCCCCCCCCCTTCCCCTCGGAATTTTATATTGAATTACATCATATCCGATAGTTTTTGACCTCCTGATCACGAATCTGACAACCGTGTATTGGGGAGATGAATAGTTTCCTCCGTAGGTTGAAATTTGTTTACCGCTCTTTGCATTACCCAGGGCCACGGCGAAGACGTAGCGGTTATCGGCCTCTGGAAACACATGTCGGTACATTTAAAGACCACTACAACACCATTGTGCATGATTATTGTTTACTCACTCAACAGCAGCACCATTCACCGTGAGGGGCAATCCATCTCCTATGGAAATTATTGACGTTGACACTCGGTTCAAGCATGAACACGCCGCTGTCTTTCATCCTCCAAATTCTGTAATTAAGTTTATAATTAAGAATTATAATTAAACAGTTGATAAATATATCGAGTGTCCACGTAGTATTCTCATGCCTCCCCCGATGGATGGACCGCTCCTGAGTGTGATAATTTTTGGCCGATCGTCAGAATAATTCTTACCAAAAATTTCTCTCAGTGCAGTGTTATTACTGTAATATGGTTCTTCGCTGTTTAGATTTTCTGATTGTGCATTTTTTTGTAAAAATGGATTTTATCAATTATCATTAGGGTTATAATAATGATAATAATTGTTGTTTATTTCGATACGATTGAGAGAGAACTGATCTCGAAGTTGGTATTAAGGCAATTCATTATAACTTTGTTAAAATTATTTGAACTGCAAATAGGTCAAAACACTTGATACTGGAAATACTATCGATAATGGATTAATCCCCGTAGAAAATAAAATGCTGAAATAACCCTATCAGTTTCACCTGCATCGGAATAATTCCACGAAAAGTCTTACCAAAGCCCATAATGAAGGAATGCAATTGGCAAGTTTATAGGTTGGGCCACTTTCGTATCGACTGGAGGCAGACGCACAGGAAAACGAGTGAATGGTTCATCGCTGGAGGGCAAAAATATCTGGTCCATCGAGAGCCATCGGTAAGAGATGAAACCTCGTTTCGTTGCGCGGTGGGACAAAAGAAAGGCTCTCGCTGTGTCACTGATTTTCCCTATTCTAATGTTTATCCAAGCGAAATCTCCAGGAGAGATAATCTCGAGAGTGCATTGTACAGATTGAATCCGTCGAAAATTTGAACAAACGTAAACAACCCCTCCCCTTCAATGCTTTTCACTCATACAATTTCTATCACTTTCTCATCGATGTACTCTGTAATTCTCCTTCCCCTTTGTGTTCTCCCCTCTTTGATGCTCGTCAACCATCACCTTACCCTTACCTTTCACTCTGTGTGGCACCTGTACACATGCCAGTGCAGCGGTCAGGCCAACCAGTGGATGGCGTCAACAATCGGTAAATATAAAATGTACCGACATGTATATACTTGTGTTTTTAATGAAAGAAGGAAGGGAAGCGAGTTGATTTCTGTCGAGGGAAATTGCCTTCTTGTACATGTAAGATGGGTGAGGGGTTAGCGGCTATTGGGCGTGGGGGATAACTGGAGCTTTGGCGAGTCAAGTCGAGTGAATAGCCAACGAACATTACAGTTTGCAGATTCTCTCCTACCGAGTGTGTGTGTTCAAATATCATCAGCAAATAATCAGAAAGGTCTTTGCCGATGATATTTTTTGTTGTAACAAAAGTTTGCCCTTTTTTTATCGCAAGTCGCTTCATAATTTTGTAGCCGACACATATTAGGGATGCTGGTTCGTCCTGTAAGTTGATTTTTTTACAAGAGATAATACAAATGAGAGATGATAACAGGGATAATTCAGGGAATAAGCTCTGTTATTAATGAAAGTCATTACAATTTCATTGCAGATTGTGGTTATTTTATGGATGGTAGTAACCGCCATCGCAATTCCATCGCCAAGCTATATTGCCGCCACTGAAAATGGCAAGGTAAAAAATTAAAGCAACAACTGAATGATTTATTGTTTTCGGGTAAATTACCCGAAAACAATTGCATGTCTAAACTATTTGAGGTACAAGTCCATTATAATGATACATCCTATTTAACGTTAGTAAGACTATAAGGCTTTTATTGTATTCTCTTTTGTTCGCTGAAGCTAATTAGCCAGTAGGCATTAAATAACCAGTTGATTGTTTCATCGAACCCAAGCCTAATGATATTGGCGAAATTCACTCAAACACAGTGAGGTAGGGTTGTAGACTGGAAGATGAATAAAAAGAAAAAAAGTAAAAATAAAAAACACATTCATATCGTGTTACACATGTGTGAATTGACTTTGGGAGAGTATCAGAGTCTAAGAAAATATGAGCGAGGGGAGATGCGCGTGAAATGCAGGTCGTCGTTGGCAGACAACTGCTGCCTCCACACGTATAGACATTGAGTTTTTTCTTTCTCTCTCTATAAAACTGGTTTTCAGTCCGTTACAATGTCGGCGTATCTGACTAACCACGAAACGACGGAGATGTGCGTATGGATGTTGTTGTTGAAAGCCGCTCCACCTCCCCCTGTGCCCAGGCGTCAATCACATGCACGCTGTATGTGGGCATGACTGCATACATACTTGTACCAAGTGTGCACTCTTGTACTCTTATTCAGTCAGTCGACACAACCGATGAGGAAAAGGCACCTGAGACGGGTAAAACTAAAACAGTTACGACTAGATTGCCTTGCAAGTAGATCTGGGTTAGAGATTTCTTTGCCCGAAGGTCGAGGGCGTATGCCATTTTATTTTTCACCTTATCATCCGTATATGGATACCGATCGGCTTTATATAAGCCTAATGTATCGATATTCACTCAAATCTTCTTCTGATTCCACGGTCTTTTCACCTCGCGCGAAGGAAACGATAGGATTATATTCTCGCTCCTTCCGTACTATTCATTTTATTATCCTTTCAGCCACTTCCGGTCACCCACACTCGTCCCTACACTTAGATGGATACCTTCCAAATATACATATATCTATAGGTCTGTAGGCTTTATATACGCGTAATTCCAGAGTGAGACTTCTCCAACTATCTGGGCTTTCCGCACGAAGGATAAGCCCTCCGGGGAACTTTTTTTATAGCTACATGTTACGCGGTGACCTCTCTGTTGGCTCTTTTCTACCAACTTTTCCTCTTATTCCTCATTTTTGTCCTCGAGTTGCAATTGGATGAAAGAAGCGCGGGTTCCCTTTTTATTCGCAACATTCCTGTTAGTGGAGTTTCCGATTTTTCTCGGCATATTTGAAATGCTCGAAAAATTGAATTGCATAGATTGAATTTCAAATCTATATACATTAAACGATGTGAAACTCACCGCTTTCCATCAACATTAAAAACGGACACAGAAATTTGTATAGCAGGTAGCTGCTCTTGAAACTTGAACTAAGTACCAGCGTTAAATTTATAACATTAAACTCATTGCTAATAAACAGGAATTAGGATAAACTAGTTGGGTGTTTTGAAACTCGAGCATGAATGGCTTTATACTTTAACCAAGTCCGAACGATTGGCCTTAGGAGTAGTGAGAATGAAATGAGGTGAAGTTTGGATAACCGTGAGAATTTCGGGTGCAACCACCCGAGCATGGAAACACAAAGTCAATAAATGAGTCCAACTACTATTAATCCAAGCTATTCGTAAAATTACCGGACCCATTTTCCCTCAATTTTTTAGCTCAGTTTTATCTTTTTCCTCCTAGAATCCCATAAAAAGAACTTTCAATTGAAGAATTTCGTCGAGAGTTGAAAGCCGCTCCACTTCCCACATTTTTTGTCGCAAATCATGATACTTAATCTCATATGAGAAGGAAAAATAGTTGAGATTAAATGGTCATGAGTTTGACAAGAGTTCTAATTAATGAGAACATTTGAAACTCTTTCGCTGATTTTTCCATTTAGTCTGACATTCAAACTGTAATCCCGGACTTTCCTCTATTGAAAACAGCCCGAGGGAGCAAAACTTGAGATGCATAAACATTGGCAAGTGCCCCAGGGTCCAGCAAAAGGAACTCCAGATTTATATATATATATATATACACGTGCATTTTATGCACAGAACTCTCTCTCTCTCTCTCTCAATATATATATATA